TTTTTTTATTCTGTACATTGATCTTGGTGCAGTCTTTCACATAACAATGAATAGTGAGTTTGTATCATTATGTAGTATGCTTATGAAATAACCATTTTTTTTAAACATAGTGCCAAGGTCAGTAGAGCATCCTAAATGGAACTGGAGGACTAAACCAGAAAGCCGTGATTTTGATGAATTGAATCACATCCTTCAAGAGAGCAAGAAGCTGGGGAAAGCCCTTGAGAATCTGTCTCGAAGTAAGTTCATTTACTTGATTATAATTGAAATTCCTCACCAACAATAGAGGTGAAACATTCATTACTAGGGCCAAGAACCCATTTCCAACATCCTCATTATAATTCTCTGAGAGACTGAGGAGTTTTAAGGGCGGGAGATTGGAAATGAGGATTGATTTTGCATGTTACACACATTCGTGGGTAGACTGATTATGTCGAGTAGCAGGGCTATAGAACGCCTCACAGCTGCTTGACCCCAAGCTCTCTACATGGTTTCTGTTACTCAGTTCACATGTGCACCTGATGGTTTCTTCTTCATTCTTCTCTTTTGAAACACATTTTTGAGTGTCTTTCTAATTAATAAACATACCTATTGCCTCCATGAGTTTTTGGTGTCTCTAAACTTCCTAAGGATGGTAACTGGGCCAGATTCTTCTTACAATACTTTCAGAGACTAGCACAGTGCCTTGTAACTTATTTTTTTTATAAAAGCAATGAAGTTAAGCTCAGGGCGTAGGTTAGAGTTTAGCTCTGGCATCTGTGAGGTAAGTCATTTAATTCCAGGAGCCTTGGTTCTCTTGTTTCCAAAGCAGGAAGACATGAGTGTGCCTCTTCTTCTGGTGGGTGTTAAGGTTTAAAAAGATACGTTTCAAGTAAAAACTTTGAAATAAATGTTATTGTCATGAGAGTAGGCAATCAAATAAATTTTTTGATTTGATAAATGCATTCTATTATGCATTTAGTAGTGTGTTTTAAGTATTCCTACCTTTCTTTGGTTCCTTAAGTGTTACTCATCTTTAGAAACACATTAATGCCATGGCTTCAGCAAAATTCTTTTTTTTTCAGTTAGTGCCATGAAATGGCAAAGATTTTAAATAGAAAGTAGTTAGAACACTAGCAAATTCTAAGGGATTATATTTTAGGATTTCTATTTTTTTCCCAGGCAGTACAGTTTTACTAATTTCATGATTTGTATCAGAGTTAAA